GCCACTCTGGTGTAGGAGATGGCGTGTTCTCTCCCTTGTTGCAGGCGTGAAGAAGGGCGACGTCGAATGCGCGGGCTCCTGACTTCTTCAGTTTCGGCGGAGCGAGATCGTTGAGGAGACGTTCGGCGGCGCGGCGTGTGACGGCGTATCCGAAGGAGCAGAGGGGGAACTTGGCTCGGTGCATGACGCGCGTTTTCTCGGGCATGCCTAAAAGGCGGAATAGGTCTTGTGTAAATGGGTGCAGGTTGATCCAAGATGGAAGCGTGGGGTCTTGCCATAGAATGTGTGGCATAGCGCTCAGGTTGAAGTTTTGGCGGTCGGTCTTTGGGCCGTCCTCGGTGACAATGTCGAAGTAGTCTCCGCAATGGCCGAGATAGAGCAGGTCCCAGGCATCTTGGTCGCCCCAGTATTGCGTGTGGTTGCTGGCGGCGTTGACGCCCGGGTGTTGAGCGCGTGGTGGAGGAAGGAGCTGTCGGGCAGCGCTTGCCGCAAGGGGTATCTGGACGCTGCGCAGGCGGATGTCCCAATCGACATCGTCTTCGAGAATGAGAGCCGTCTCGAGGCCTGAATCTAGGAACCTAAATCATAGCGAATCAGCAGCTGCTCGATGTGGCTGTATGCACGCCAAGACGGGTGGCATGCCGGCGTCGATATAACTTACCAGCGCAGCGCGTTGTGGTGCCCTAACCACGCTAGTATCGATCCCTTCTGCGCCTTTTCCTGACCGTTGATGAAGCGCTGGACGTCGCCTTCTGTCCATTCTGGCTGGGTCGGGATGGTAAGGTCGATGTCGGTGACGTTGGCAGCTTGCAGGAGTGGCTTGCGGCGCGAGGAGCCATCCTTGGACACGACTACGACGGCGCCGAAGCCTAAGGTCTTGTTGGAGGGTATCTTTGCAGGGCGCGACTCAATCGAGGACATCCATTGCAGGTATATGCGTTCAGTGTCTCTGCTGTGGTACCATATTCCGATGAGGACGAGGACGAAGAGCAGCAGCAGCGGCGTGGGCCGCTTCCTGGAGGCAAGCATGTCTAGCTAAGGTAATGGGCCAAAAGTTGTTGCTGTTGAAGGAGAGTTGCTAGACATGTCCGCGAAGTCGAGGAGGTGGGGGCACGCTATCGCAAGAACAAAGTAGGCATTAGGACGTTGTGTGGCAGGACCGAAGCAGATCGCGCTGGGCGAGGGCCATGTCTAAATGTCGCAGGTTGCGGCGGGAGCAATACGGGAGCATGCCGGGGTGTGGCACCGACATTGCGTCTTGTAACCACTGTATCAGGCTACCTTAGATTATCGCGCATGCACCCGGGATTGCCGTTATTTTACGCTCGCCCGGGTGGATATAGCTTGTAGAGGACGCGGCCGTCGCAGGCTGAGTGTGCGACGGCGCAGTTGAAACGGGCGACAGCACCCAGACGCCTCCAAAAGTGGAAGTACTCCAAAATTGAAAGGCGCGTCTGAAGTGCCACCTGTCCGTTGGTGCTTGCGGCTGACTTTTTGTTTTATGACATGCATACGTACCGTGTCCGCGCTGGCGGTCCCAACAACGGCGTCACGTGGTCGGCGTGCCGAGTCGATGTGAGCTGCGTACTCTGGGACACGCTACCCTCTGCGCTACCCATCATGCGCCTCATTCAACCACCGATTACGACGCCGACGCTTACAACATTGGACTACGACGACTATTGATGACTACGACCAGACACCCCTAGACGACGAATTGGACGACGACACCCCGTGACCCTGCGCGCCTTGTTTCTGCAGCACTACATTACCTATTCCATCTCCCAAGTCCGCTGCTTGCTAGTTTGTGTCATGCTGTGCGCCGCTGCACCCTGAAACTAGTCGTGCGCCGGCTGCTTGTCCTCCGCAGCCTCCCCTTCTCCAGGCCGCCCGTCCTCGATCTGTGCCGTCCACGGGGTGACCCCAGGCACAAACATCCCCTCGCAACCCACCGCACCACATGCCCGCCCACTCAGCCCGCCCATAGACATGGCCACGCTGGGCTCGCCCTCTCCCCCGACTTCCCCCTCGCGAACCATGCGCCGCCGCGGCTGGGCCAGGAAGGTGGAGCGGTACTGCTGCACCGCCGTCACCTACTTCCCGCTGCTCTTCGTCTACGGCCTGACGTCGTGGGCCGTGTGGGTGCAGGCTGGCATCGGCTTTGTCCCGTCGAAGAATGTCTGGACGGGTGCGTCTCCCTCTGTACAATACATCCAATGCATATCTGCCCATGTCCAATGAGATCACTTTAAACAAACACCCAGGACGCGACTACTGACACGTCGAATAGGAAAGTTCTCGTCTGCCCTCGGCGTCTTCCTCTATCTCATGCTCAACTGGAGCTACACGACCGCCGTATTCACCGACCCCGGGTCGCCGCTCAATATCAAGAATGGCTACAGCCATCTGCCGTCGCAAGAAGGAGGAGAAATGCAGTACACGTCCTTCACAGTCAAGGCATCGACCGGTGAACTGCGCTTCTGCAACAAGTGCCAGTCCAAGAAGCCCGACCGCTCCCACCACTGCTCCACGTGCAAGCGCTGCGTCTTGAAGATGGACCACCACTGCCCGTGGCTCGCGACTTGCGTTGGCCTGCGCAACTACAAAGCCTTCGTCCTCTTCCTGACATATCTCTCCTTCTTCTGCTGGGTGTGTTTTGCGACATCTGCGACCTGGGTCTGGAGCGAGATTCTGAGCGACGGACAATACACCGAATCATTCATGCCTGTCAACTACGTCTTGCTCGCTGTGCTGTCTGGCATTATCGGAATTGTCATAACAGGCTTCACTGCGTGGCATCTGTGGCTTACAGTCAGGGGCCAGACTACGATCGAGAGCTTGGAGAAGACGCGCTATCTCTCACCACTCCGAAGCACGATGAAGCACCAGCTCAACGACCGAAACTATGTCGAGGCGCAAGCAAACGGGCGATTGAGCGTTGGCGACCAATTGCGCGAGATCCATGCGAACGCTCTTCCGGGTGTGACCAGACCTGAAGAGGGCGAGCAGCCTTCGCGCTCCGCATCGCGTTCTCCCGTCCCCGGCCACGCAAACGGCTACTCCCACCCGCACTATCAATCCTACGAATACCGAGAACGCCAGCAGAACCAAGACCGCTACGACAGCTACCTCGACGAGCGCGACAACGAGATGCTACCGAACGCATTCGATCTGGGCTGGAAGCGCAACATTGGGCATGTCTTCGGGCCTTCGCCGTTGAAGTGGTTCGTGCCACTGGTAACAACAACTGGAGATGGATGGTCGTGGGAGCCTAGCCCCAAGTGGTTGGCAGCACGAGAACGGATAAAGCGTGAAAGAGAAAGAGAAGAGCAGATACAGAAGCAGCGTGAGCGCGCTGCTGGTTGGGGTGTGGATACTCCTACGGAAGCAGAGTTCACGCGTCCCACTCGCGGTCCGGGTGGGTGGATGCCCGGCCAATACAACCAGCGTCCATCGCGAGCCACAAGACGACCGGAGTGGCAAACACCCACTCGTCAAGGCGAACCGACCCAATACCTCACCCCCTCCAATGGCATCGCCAAAGGTCCAATCGACGGACGAAGAAGTCCGAACAAAGCCGATCAAATACTAGGACGAGAACGCGGCATGTACGCCGATGGCGACGTACAGCTCCAAAATATCGACAGGAGGAAGTTCGACCAATATAATTACATATCCGAAGACGAAGATGACGATTACGAGGTCTCCAGCGACGAGCAAGCGGTAGACCAACGAAAAGCACGAAAAGCGCAGACCGTATCTGTGCCCCCGAAAGGGACGCAGAACTGGAACGATATACCGGACGGGTTCTTAGACCCAGCACCAAAAGCGAAGAAAAGCACAAGTCGAGAACGGCCGCGGAAAAACGGCGAATGGGATGATTGGGGGACGTGAAGATATGGCGAATATAACGGATACGAAGGCATGTTGGTTATGTTGATATGTACATTTCAATGTTGCATAGCATGGCGTTTGTTGCATAGGAATGGAGTTTATGTCTAGTCATTTGAGGAATGGAGATATTCTTGTTCATGGCTTTCGGTGTCTGCTGATACGACGCTTTAGGTACAGTCTCGTTGATTCTGGTAGCTGGTTAGGGAAGCAAACTTGTTCTCTTGTACTAATATATATCTACATCTGTGCACTCGCATGCTCATCAGGTTGAACTCACACACGCACCCTTTTCCGATAGTCGACGAGAATCCCGCGAAAATCAAAATCAGCACACATGCCTATCACGGCCGCAGAGTACAACACTTTCTACTTCATCGCCAAACTCATCCGCCAAGTGTTCCCGGGGCACAGATTGTATGTCGCCCGTGAAAAGAACCTAGCCGGCAAGGTTCTCAGCTACCACGCCGGGGTAGCGAAGTATGAAGGCAAGGTGATGAAGGACATCATCATGGCTAGCGGTAATGCGAAGAAACGCGTCGATGCACTAGACACACTTTTGGGCGATCTGGAGGATTACGTACACGATAACTTTGAGCAGATCGAGGCGGAACGGCGGGCTAGGGAGGCTGAACTTGATGCTGAACTTGATGCCATGGAACCATCCAGTGAAGAGGAAGACGAGGGGGGGAAGAGAAAAGGGAAAGCACCAGGGGGACGAGGTGCTGATAAAAAGCCCCGGTTGGACACCGACCAATCTCTAGAGAAGGGGGACGCGGAAATTTCTGGTAAACGCAAGTCAAGTGAGGACTCTTCACCAGTTCGGGTGAAGGCAAGAGCGAAGCCAGAGGATAGAGAGTTGAAGGAAGGGACAAGGGGCGGTCAGGGTGATGTGCAGACTTCGTAGTGTGTTACATATGTGACATGTTGTTCTGCTGCAAGTACCTGTGCGGCTATCATGAGACTGGGATTAAGTTGGCTGGGTGATGCTAAGTTTGATCACTGTTCTGGTAGACAAACTTATACCTGCCTTCTACTTATATAACTTCACGCATACGCATGCTAACATTCCAATACTTACGCTATCTAACAACCCGGGACCAGCACCGATGTCCAGTAGCATCACAGACCTCGAGTTCCAGACCTTCTACGTCGTAACCAAGCTTCTCGACGCCGTCTATCCAAATGGCAAATTGTACGTTTCCCACGGCTTGAGCACTGACAGGGATTCTTACCGGTATCGTGCCGCTGTAGTAGAGTCAAAGATAGAGTCTTCGGGTAGTGTCAAGAGACGACTACTCTCGCAGGTCGAAACAGCCAAAACTCGGATTGGTGTTCTAGAAGCCGTGCGGAAGAGGCTTGAGGAAATCGCGTCCTGGAGACTCGACGTGATCATAAGCGACAAGGAAAGAGATGACGTGGAAGAAAACGAACGGAAGAGGAAGAACTTGGTGAGTTGCGAAGCAGCGTATGAAGAAGCTAGGAGGAGAGCGGAGAGTGGAACAGGGCTGGTCTCAGCTGCAGGAGAAGCTTTGACGATGGAAGATATCGCCAGAGAAATTGGGGTAGAGTTTATTCCACAGAAGCCTTGGTAGATAGGAAAACGTAGAGGCATGGTTAAGCAATGGATGGCATGTTTGGTAGATGTGGTCCCTGGTACCTGCTGGTCGAGAAGTCAGCGTCCTCACTAGCGCCGCGCGCTAATCAGATTGAAAGTACATGTGCACCTGCCCAGGTGGACATCTCCATCAAATCTCATCACCAGAAACCCTACCAAAGTTGTGCCCTACTACTAACCGATCTCAACTTTACAGCCGTCTTTGATCGATATGACTAATGTCATGACCTGCTTCTCCACTCCTACCAGCTCGGCAGCTTTTCCTTTGGGAAGTCTGATATCCGCGAAGCTCTGAAGAAGTCGCACAATCACGTACCCAGCTTCCGTTAGCGCGAAGTCCACTAGAATTTCAGATTAGCTTAATGACGAAAAGCGTAACCCACGCAGGTACTTACTGCCCAGACAGGTCCGCGGTCCACAATGGAAAGGAAGATATCCCCACTTGGAATTCGTCGGATCTTGCTGCATAGGCATCTCTTCATCCCATCTCTCTGGTCGGAACAACTCTGCATCCATTCCGTAAAGGTCGGGTCGGCGGTGCATAGCATACACACTGAAAGCTACCGCGCTCCCTTTTGGTATGAGGACTGGGGAAGTGCGATCCGGGCCGCCCCCTGTGGGAAGTACCGTGGTCCTTGTAGCCATACGGATGTTGACAGGTACAGATGGGTATAGTCGCAGGGCTGGCGTCAAGGTAAGCATCTCATGTGGGAGAAGGATTCGGAGTGAACCTACTTTCTTTGAGAACATTCTGCAGGTAAGGCAGTCGTCTTAAGCTATCGCGGCTAAGTTCCGCATTCGCATCGCAGGTCGAAGAGATTTCCTCACGCAACTTCTTCAGCACGTCTGGATGGCGTACGAGGAGAAAGCTGTTCACATCAGGCGGGAAACCGTCACACCGGGAAGCGCAACTTACAATGTCCAGGAAAGAAGGCAGGCTGTGGTGTCTCTCCCAGCGACTAACAGACTGATGATCTGACCTCTTAATGCAGCTCGAGTCGACGCATGCTGCGCAACGGCATCCAGAAAGACATGTTTTCCCTCATCATCTGTCTTGTATCGGTTTGACGAGATGTTGCGATCGATAATTTTGTCGGCAAACTCGCGAACGTCTCGGCAAGCTTTCCGGAACCCTCCACCGTCTATCATCCAGTACAGGTCCTGGAGTCGATATCTGATAACGGCCCATTGTTGGGCGGTGTTGAAGGCATCCGCAAACGTCTGCTCCCCAACAACCTCCGGGTGTGCGAGACTGCGAGTTGACTCGCCAAACAAAAATGCTGTCGTGGTATCGAGGGTCAAGCGGAAGAAGAGCGGCTGCAGGTCAACGATCCCGTCGCCTTCTCGAACCAACCGGATGAGATCATTGGTCGCTTCTTGGAATATTTCAAGGCTCTCATAATGCTTGTGTTGCAATTGCGGTCGCAGCATACCCCGGGAGTGTTTCCAGTCAGCACCTTCCTGCGTGAAAATGCCATCACCAAACGCTGGGAAAAGGATCGCTCGACGAGGCCCAAGACCAAAGTCTAGCTGTAAGTCAGCCTTCCAACACACCCACCACTTCATTTTCTTCATTCCGCACCTTTGAAACTGGTAGACAAGATAGCCTCCAAATTAGCCGGCTCGACCGTTCCATATGCTTTCACTCCCAGAAACTTGTGCTTTAGTGTCTTTCCCGTTTGCCGAAAGTGGAACAGGAAGAGCTCCATCAATCGCGATTCAGAGTCTGCACGGAAGATCTGCTCAAGTCGATCGATACCAAATGGCCTCTGGTTCTTCAGTCTGGGGGCTGGAAGACATCCGTGGCGGTCGCTAATCGCTTGATCTGACTTTGCAAATTTAGTAATTTGGGAGTGTGTAGGTGATAGATTGGACCTACGAGGCATTGTCGTCGGTAAGAAAGATACTGAATTACGAGCGCAACCAATGAGACAGTTGCTACAAGAAGTGCCACCGGCGTCATCGTGTCAACGAAATCGGAAAAGGCAGCAGCCAGATTATGGAAGAGAGTCGGCGAAAATCTGAGAAGTAACTGGAGAAAAGAGATCGAGCGTTTGCGCATGCGCCACAAGGGTGGAGCATTCCTTGTTGGGCGTTTGTGCAACGCAACACCAACACGCTACGATAGTGCAGCAGACGTCGAACGGGCCGTGCCTTTGATCCTCATCCTTCTTGAGTCTTCTTCTAAGTTGCGAAGGAATGTCTAGTACGCCACTAGAATATTAGGGGCGGTTTTGTACGTTTGCATTTGCTGCCATGACGAGCAAACCGTCGCAACTTCGCACTACATAGCGATCATACTTCGCCTTACCTTTCCTAACTCACCAGAACATCAAGCATTGTGGAAGCGGACACCACAGTCATGGCCAAACACGTCACCGAAGCTGATCACCGCACTTTTAGCTATGTGAAGAGGCTAGCCGATAGCCTTTTCGGCGATGAATTTAAAGCATCCATCGCCGTCTATCCAAGCTACACCGATACCGGTCCTAATGGATATTTGACTAACCTTGCTGCTCGCTCAACCACAGATCCCTCAAGATTATTGTCATTGCCATTTGGGGGGCCACATAGGGGGTTGACAAGGGAAGAAGCATTACTCGGACTGTTACACAGCTTGGAGGGGTGGGCGGCGGAGAAGACCCGGGAAAAGAACCGAGTAAACTTTTGGGAGAATGTCTATAAAGGAGTGATGGCCAGTAACAGGGACAGAGCAGAGCGCGCTGCTCGAGAGGCGGCGACCGGGGCGACGGATGATGGAACAGATGGACGAGGTGACCTCAGAGGCACATGATAGAGGCAAGGGATTTGCACGAAGATTGGAGAGAGGAAGAACGGAAGAAGCTTTTGTATTGAGATTGGAAGGACCTTGCGTCTAAACGTGTTAGTGCTCGTCAATAGCGATATGCACTCTAGGCATACCAAAATCATCTTTTGACGTAGATACCGCACACGTCAGGCGAATTCAACCAGCTTAGATCATACAAGTGACGTACCAGACACTGTTTATCTATCGCGAATTCTTATGAGGGTCTCGTACGGAGGATACGCATTCGTATCGAATCGCTTCGACGGTTCCACAAAGTTTGCTTCTCCAAGTGATCTCATCCACCTGTTGACCCTCCCGCCTCATTGTACAACTAGACAAACACCTTGGTACACCACTGATCCTAGTAGATGACGCGGCTTCTTCACCGGTTTCTCGCCATAATAGACCGCCTCTAGATGTTCTCAATGTCTACACTCTTAAGTCACAGAGATCACAGATGGATTCATTGGCAGCAAGCATGCCCGAGCGCCTCGGCCGACCTCGCGAACCGCTTCCGAATCTGCGAGGTGAAGACGAAACGGAGATTAGGTATCTCATCGACTTAATCGAAAGTAAGCACCAAAACCCCCTAACTCCATCCCTTCCACATACTCACCTCCCTCCTTCAGCGCAATCATGGATCCTCTCCCCCCTCAAACCCCCCTCCTGCATCCTCGGCCGCCACCCCCCACCCAAAGCCTCCGCCTCCTCCACCTCCAAACCAAAAGCCGTCGATCCCTCTTTCGCTTTCTGCGCCTCCCTCTACAGCATCGAGCAAGGCGGAGTCAGGAGCTTGGAACTGGGACCTGAAATGGGTGGGAGCAGGAAAGAGGCGCTGGAGCATTTGTTGGGGGTTGTGGAGATGGAGATTGGAAGGATGATGCTGAATGATGATAATTATCAGAAGAAGAAGGCGGCGAGGGACGGGGGTGGGAGTGTTGGGAGTGGGAGTGTGGGGAGGGGTGAGAGGGGATGAGACGATTCAGGGCAGGGACGATATGGGTTCTGGGTTCGTTGAAGTCTTTGACGTATGCATAACGATTTTGACCACCTCGAATAAGACATTTCGCTTGGTGTCCATTGTCGTGCGCTTGTAAATTTTCATGAACGTCTTCATGCTCGAACCTCCTCTAAGCATCGTATTCCTCGGAAGTATCTCTATGATCCAATCCATCATGATCATTTCCATTTCCAACTCCAGCGTCTCGACTATTCGCTCCCGTCTCTCCGCTCTTCCAACACCCTGGAGTTCAATCTCAACTTTATGGAAACCGCGCTGCATCATAGTTCTCCACTGCCTCCAACAGTTTCAGCAGCACCTCACTACGCGAGTTTGCTACTTGCATTGGAATGAAAACTGTCTCTTGAATTCTAGCCTGAGAGACAACCATCACCGGATATCCTATGACCATGGCACAATATTCGAAGTTGCCATTTGTGGTGCGACGACGAGCTATCTTTACAGCGGCGTGAAAGTTAGGTAGGAAGAGGGATGTGACTAAAAACTTGAGGAATTTGAGGTTGTTGACGTCGTCTCGTGTTACTGGGCGGCTGGCCATCGTTGGATCGAGAGGTAGTAGAAGAGGATGGGTGTGAGAGCGATCTTTCGCACCGGGAAGAGGATCTCATGCAATTATACTCTAGGTGAATGCCTAGACGATTGCTAGACTTGTCAGCAATAATAGGATGCATGGCTTGCTTTGCCAAACCCATGGCCTCTTGAAGATGATTGCGATGTCAGAGAGCAAGCAGCCCGACCGATACATAGCCTCGAAGGGCAACTGTCCATCAAAGCTTCGCAGACTGTAGTCATCATGAGTACCATGGCACATGAGTCGAGCAACGAGAGTCGCCCACACGTACCAGCACCACCCAGCGTGCCCGCTACCCCCCTCCTGGACACCGATGAGAACCACTTGAGCTATCTCAGCAGTAAAACACCTCTCCTCACCGATCCTTGACACCAAACTAACATGATCACAGAGTTAATCACCTCCACGTTCCGCCCGCAGCTAGAGCCACTGCTCCTTATGGGTAGATACGAAAGCAGAGGAGAGGGCGTTGAGAAGTTCCGCGCGTGCGTCATTGGCTGGAACACTAAGTCAGTTACCCCAGAAAGAAAGTTCCTCATTGCGCCTCAGGAAGGGCTGAGTCGTCAGTCTGCACTGTTGGCTGTCATCAGATGGGTGGAGAGTGCAGCGCATAAGAGAATGGCGGATCTGGAGGCTAAGGAGGCGTGCGACCTCTGAAGTAGCTGGGAATATATGCCAGAGTCTGTATGATCAGGATAAGATTCATGTCGGCTTTCATAGCTTAGCTTTCTCGTCCAACAATGGTATACCAACCGCCTCTTCGAGCTCTTTCACAGCGTCCTTCGTCCTGCCCAGATTCACCTTAATTGTCCTCAACCCCGTCTTCTTCGCAAACTTCAGGTTTATGCCGATATCGTCCAAGAAGAGAGTGTCACCTTCGGTCACACTCTCCATGCCCTTCTTCCTCGCAATCTTGTCCATCTCCCGTACCGCCAGCTTGTATGCCTCTGGATCCGGTTTCCTGACACCAACCGCCGCCGAGCCGAGGAAAATGTCAAAGCACGTCGTGATGTCTGTGGAGTCGTTCGCGTAGGGGTTCGGGGCCGGTGCGTGGATGAGCTCTTTAGTGAAGAGCTTGCCTTCGTCGTCGAGGATGCCCGTGGGGAAGGTAACGTTGTTGCTGAACGCGCCCAGGACAAACTTTCCGCTCTGGCCTAGCTTTCGTAACGCAGGGTACATGTACGGGTCTGGTGCTCGGCTGATCTTCATCATGCGCCAGAACAGCTTCTTCGCGTCGATGTCTGGTACTTGTGGCTTCCCACCCTTGATTGCTTGTCCACCACCGACGCTCTCTTGCTGCGCAAGCTTCTGGAGATATTGTGACCATACTTCCGGTCGCATAAGCTGCTTCCTAAAGTCCGCGAACCAATCGTCATTGAGTTCGACTTCGCCGCGTTCGATGAGCTGCCATGCGCCCGTGTCGTGGGGCCCTTTCTGAATCGCGAAGTTTATGTAGCCATTCGGGATCTTGTTCTCGATTTCGTAATCGAGGATGGCTTGGAAAGGGCTTATGACCTGTAATGAGACACGTTAGCCAACGTGGTCCTGTCGCGCATAGTGATGGATGGCTGGGCAGGTGGCAGTGTGAGGAGGTACGTACGACAACCCCGCCGATGTCGAACAGGATGGCTTTTGGTGGCTTTGAGGAGGTCATGATAGATAGATGTTGATAGAGATGGCAAGCATCGCTATGAGACTGTCATGGTGGTTTGTAGCGCGTCATCGTGGTCGGCAGTCGAGGAGTCGTGAAGCCTCAAGGAACCTCGGCAATGGATAAGCTCTATCGGTCAACGGCGCTAGCCCCCGCAAATACTTCAACCTCACAGGCATGCATCGCTCATCACTGAGGTCAAATTTCACCAATCTTGCTATTTCTAATGGTTCAAGGTATTCTAGACTGCTTTCTTCGTCTCCGACGCTTAGGCGGTGTTTGGGCTTGGGATGAAGGCTCTTTAGGTGGAAGTTTCACGACAATCTTGTCGCTCATCCCCATCCTCGCATCCTGAAACTCGGGGGTCGATCCGGTCCTCGTCGACACATCACAATGCTCGACCTCCATATCCATTCTCGACACTGGCAGATTGGGTATCACGCTCACCTGTCGTGTATCATTGGGCGGCAGCCGGACCCTGGGATACTTCCGATCCGTTAGGCCCGGCCCACTGTGCAGCCTGGAACGAGAAAAGTCGCCAATAGACTCACAATGCTGGACATTGCTCCTTAGTCTTCCCGTCTTCTTGAAACCCTTGACATCTTTGATACGGGTTTGGCGCTGCATGCGCTCGCAGTGTTGATAGCGGAGGCGTTCCAGTTCAATCCGGGCTTGTGTTGTTTCGTAAAGGTAATGCTGTTCGTCACCTACAGCGAGGATATGGATAAGCATGTGCTCGAGGTCAGAAGACGATATCAAGCCTCTAGCATTGAAGTAACCAATGTTTATGACCATCTGGTCCATGATCTTGTGTCTACCGATGAGTGCAGGGACCAAAGCCTCGACATCAGCGAGGGTCATCGGATGGCGTGAGATGTGTTGCAGGAGAGGACGCTGGCCTTTGACAGGCAAGTTCCTCATCATTCGCTCCACAGGAGTTGGGAGTGGGGGTGGCGTGTATCCTTTGACGCTACCTCTCAGCCCCACTGCATCGCTTGCGCCTTGGTGTGACGTAACATCTAAGCTAGATGGGTCAGGAGCTGGGGAAGGGGCAATGGGAGACACTGGAAATACTAGATCAGTCCGACTTTGCCATCCGACACAGCCGCCCAGGCTCAGAGATGCCACTCGGGACCCAAGCGTTGACACGACCATGAGATTAGTTGAGCAGAGGTGAGAAGGGGGGATGAATCTAGAGCGCTGATCGTGATACACCTTTAGGGAGTGATGTGTTGCCTATGTCCCATACTGAGGAACTTCGCCCAGGCATATGTTGAACGGAGTGAACAGTGTTTCGCGCGGTGTGTTGGCATATCGCAGCATACCCAGCGGGAAGTGAATCTGTTCTGCGTGCCTAGTGAGTCTATCAGTACAATCATACAATAGGAGAAGTCACAGTGTTTTGTGCAATAGAGCCCTCTTCACGCTCCCGCAACGCACGATGTGAGACTGTAACGGAGTACGTACACAATGTCGCGTAGAAAGGGGATGTGTTAGAATTAGTGAACAAGATATGCAGGGTAGAGGCTGGAAAGGCATTATGCATACTATACGCGTACCGCTACATGTCTGAAAGCCCGCAAAGTCGATCCTATGCATGCTTGCCGGACGTCTTCAAAATCATACACGACTTACTGGAGTCGGATATACGAATCTTGCTTGGGGAAGGCTATGGCGTGAGATGCGATGGCAAAAGTCCGCTCACACAACTGCTGAAAGGCTCTCAAAACACAACTGAGCAGTTGCGTACCAAAGTTCTGTTGCTTCAGGACTGGTCCCCACATACGGCGGACGAGTACCATGACGTATTGGTCTGGCCTGCGGACAACATTGTGCTTTACTCGTTGCTACTCTGAGAACAAGCCTCATGCGTTCCAAGTCAGCTCGTAGCCGAAGACAGTCCGGCGAAGAAGTTCATCCTAAGTTCGGTCAGTGACGTTTACAGAGTAAGCGATCCGCAAGACTCACACCAGGATCTTCCTCGAACATGACCTTATCCATGACCTTCTCGAACGTCTTAGCAACGGTAAAGCCCGCTTCCTTGGCCAGATCAAAGAAAGCCAGGTCTTTCTCGTACAACCACGGGCGGTATGGTGTAAAGAAGACGTAGGCTCGGGAGTTCGGCGATTTCTTGAGGGTCAGCTGGACAGTCTTGATGAGTTTGGCATGTTCCGAGTGGTTGAATAGAAGGTCGGCCAAAATGAGGACATCAAAGCCCGAACCATCAGCCAGATATTTCGTCAAGTCAGCGGTAGGCGCACCCCAGAGGTACCCCTGTACATACATTAGTGATGTTTGCTAAGGTTGAGCACAGTCACAAACCCTCGCCACAATCTTGGGTGGCTTAGAAAGTAGTTCGCAATGGTCGACATTGTATTGCAGGTTTTCGACCAACTCAGCATCGGGATAGTCCGTAACGACCGTTTGAGCGGCACCGTTGAGAGCACAGACAAGGCTTGGAAGACCTGCTCCGGCGCCAAGCTCGAGAACCGTCCGGTTTTCTACGAGCTCTTTTGCATTCTCCTCCAGGTATTCAGATATAGTGCGCCCTGCATTCCATAGAAAGTGCCCCTGAATGTGTCAGTGAACGTGCCAGGCGCAGTTCAAGTACGTCAGAACTCAGCGAATGTATCGAAGCATTTCCGAAAATTTCACGGGCTTTCTAGAAGTCTTCTAGAAGAACGGGAGCCAATAGTGGTTGCATTGGCAAGTTCCATACAGTGCTTCGGCATG